GTCACCGACAGACAACCGTGACGGCCCAGAGTGAGGCGTGGCTAATCAATGGTTCTTGGGCGCCTTAATTGGGACGCCCCCGCGCGAGGCAAGGCGTGACATCCCACTCAACGGGCCCTTGCGGGGCTGCCAATAGACAAGGGGAGGGTGAAAACGAGGAAAAGAAAGGGAACACGGTGGCGCTGATCATGGGGATGTTCTTCTGCATCAGTTCGAGTGCACGCTGCACACGTCGGTGGAGGACAAGTACATCCAGTGTCTAATCACTGCGCGGCTGCAGGGGCCACTTGCACAGCGGCAGGCGACGGGAGGCTCGGGGGCGACGACTACAAACGAAGAAAAGCGGGAAAAGAAAAGTAGAAATTAGAAGCACAGAGGGCGGGTCGTGGGGGCATCGCGGCAGGCACACAAAGGCGCCCTCAACAGGCACACCCACCCAACACGCACACCGCAGGGAAGCCGACGTACACCACGCACAAAAGTGTGGCGGGCTCACAGTTTACTTCCCCTTCCACGACGTATGCCCCGCTCGTCCGCACACGCTCTTCCCTCACCAGTCCCACAAACCACAACAACGGCAACACAACCACAGCGACGCCGCGGAACGGGCCCGCTGTGCCCGGCAACACGCCCCTCCACATCCCTTGAGAACAGGACCAGTCACTCCTGTTGCTGGACCGCATGCGTCGGGCAGCAAAGACAGTGGATGTGAAACGACTGCGACGGCTCCCGCAGGCTTTGGCGCACCTCTCGGATCGCAGCAAAACGGGAGCACCAGCATGCACGACATCAGCATCAATTTGCATACCTCTGCTGCACGCTGTTTCACCCTTTTGTACGCGCCTGAGGGACCGCACCATCCCCTGGGAGTATCAATCAAGCGACGCACCGCAAAAGTGCTACAAAACGGCACGGGCCTAACATGACACAACACCGGCAACGCCTCGCTTCTAGTGACGTGCCCCGCTGTTGTTGTTGTTGTTTTTGGTTTGTTGGGGCTCCCCGTACTATTGATCTGTTACTGCTACTCCCCTGGAAGCCATCTCCCTGGGAGGAGAGACATTGGTGCTCAGCAACGACATGCCCCCGCATTTCATGTGTGCTTTGCTGTTGACTGCACGCGAGTTCCGCTGTGGCGCACGTGAGGGGGCGGCTAACGGGCATGTGCCCGTGGTGGAGGTGGCGGGCGCTCTCTGCTTCTGCTGTCGCTGTTGCCTGTGCCCCGTGAAGTCATGCTTCAGCGGAGGACGGACACCGCTTACGGCCGCGTGTGACGCTCGTCGCCGGCGGAACGGAAAATGCCATCCACTTCGCCTCCCATCGTCTGACGGGGGTTGACTCGTGGCTCAGCTTCCCTGCCCACGGCTGGATGCGTCATGGGGCTGCCGTCTCGACTCCCGCCGCGCATGCGTAGCTTCCGCATCGCCTCCCCCTCCGCGCAGTTCCCTGCCGCACAACCGGCCTCACAGGCGTCGGTGGGCCGCTGCGCCTCCAGCTCGGCCTCATGGCGGCGTAGTTTTTCAGCAGGGACCAGCGCAAAGATGCCACCGACCACCGAAACGACGTTGATCATCGCCGTGACATTCACCGCGCCTTGTGGTGTGGCGAGGCCGTCGCCAAGCAGGGCAGAGGCGACGGAGAGCAAAACGAGCGAGACGATATTTGCGCCCGCCATAAGAATTGCGCCCGGGACCGAGTCCGGCATGGGGTGCGCAATCTCCATGGAAAACTCAAAGCAGATGGGTATGGCGGTGTTTTGTCCCACGCCCGCAGCGACGTACAAGAAGACAAACAAGGCGTTTATCAGCGGCGTATTCGGCGGAGCCCACATCATCGTAAGAATAAGACCGGAACAACACACAACGGAGAGCAGGAAGCATAAAAGCAGCAATAATTTATAGCTGCGGCTGTGGCCGACCCACGCGCCAGCCGCATAGGCCGTAACGGTTCCGACAACAATGTTGATTGCCCCCATCGCTCCCGCCAGCTCCTGCGAGACACCAAACGGCTCCAAAAGCTGTGTTAGCACCGACGCAAAGGCCCACACGCTTCCCATGCTGACGCTGAAGGCAAACGATAGAAAAAGGAAGTCACGGGACAGCAGCAGAAGATACCACGCATGCGCGACATGTATGATGCCGCGGATGTGCTCACTCTCAACCCATCCCGGACGACTGGCCCCCACGTTAGCGGGCCGGGTCGGCTGATTCGCCTGCTCCGCGGGCGCCGCAGGAGCGGCGCACACATGCGGTGCATTGTTCCTCGCACTGGAGGCACGATACGCGTTGCCGTTCGATCTGTCCCCCCGGTGCGGGTGCCGTGGCGATCGCAGAAAAAAGCAGACAGCGAGAAACACAAGACAGCAGCAAACCATCTCAGCCCCAAACAGGACCATAAAGGGGCGGCGGCTACCACTTTTCACCACCAAAGGCGGTGCCATGAGAGCGACAGCATTGCCGAGGCTGTTGGACGTACTCGCCACCGCCGTTGCAAATGCACGGCGATTCGGCGGGAAGTAATGTGCGGCAATTAGCGGCGGGACCGACAAGACGAACAGCTGGGCAAAGGCATTAATCGTCTGCGGCACAATCAGCGCCGTGAATGACGGGCAGAAGAGCCCCGGAGCAAACTTCAGCACCGACCCAAGAGCGTTGAGTCCAGAGCCGATCAGAAGCCCACGCCGCACGCCCCAGCGCTCAAACGTCGAGCAGGCAAGGATAACGCCGCCGGCAAACACAATCATGTACACGGAGGACAAGTAATTCAGCTGCTCGGTGCTTAGGTGAAAGAACTCCCTCGTTGGGGTGGCGATGGGGGCAAATGTGATCCACTGAATGGCGTTTGAGCTGCTGAACAGGCAGAACAACGCCAACGCCACCCAGCAGTGGGCGCCCCGTGCGAGGGTCATGCCCTCCCGCTTCCTGCCTCCACGGGTCCGTCGCCTGCAAACTTACCGCTACCACAGGTGCTCCCTAAAAGTCGCGCCGGGCACCAAAGAAACACAACGCACGCAACGGCTGCACCGGTCACGCGCAAAAAGACGCATCGCAACGCATTCGGTGCCCCCCCCCCCACCCACCACCACCAAAAAAAAAGAGAAGAAAATACAAATGAGGAGGGAGAGAAGGCACCCCGCAGTAATATTTGGGGCAGTGACCCGTCAGCCGGAGAGCACCCAACGGCGACGTTCCCTGCCGCGTGGCAGCAGCGGCCGGCCGGCACCGTGACCCGCAGAGACCGCGCCACACAAACAGGACGAGGCAAAACACGCAACCGGCACCGTTTGTCTCAGATCCGTTTGGTTGGTGACCCCGGCAACCTCCTCCCTTCCCTCGCAGTCTTCTGCAGGATGAGGCGGCGGAAGGGGACAGAAGGAAGAAAGACGCGACACGCAGCCGCGCCCCGAGGCAAGCCGGAGAAAATAAAACAATTGCAAGGTAATTCTAAAGAAACGAATTGAAAACAAAATCAAAAACAGCCTAACATTTTTTTCATTCTTCTGTGTGCATGACCATACATATATAAAACAAAACAAACTAAAAAAAAAAAAAAACGCACCCGTCTGAAGTGGAAGAGAAGCACATTTTTGTGTTTCCCCTTTTTTCTTTTGCTTCTCTCACCAACGGCGGTGAAACCGCGCAAAAAAAGCCCATCGCGGAACCGCATCACACACGCACACGCACGCACATCTTCAACGTCATGCGCGGACACATGTATATATGCACGTATAAATGTACATAAGTACGTGCTTAAGAAAAACAAATGCGTACTTACCGCGTTTCCACCGCGGCAAAGGAATGTGATGCACGTAAACACACTTTGTTGTCTATACGCAGCATGTATATCTTTGCCTGGCGTGCCTCCATCGTCCTGCTTGTCTGTCCCCAAAAAATCATTCCCTCTCCACCGCGTCCTGTCCCCCTCTTTCCTTCTGCTCTTCCCGGCAGTAACCCAGCATCATTCTGCTGGAAGGTTTAACATATTTGCATCATCCCTCACCCATGCATCACTGGCGTTGCAGTAGACTCCCAGCGCCTTGCGGCGTCTCTCATTCCAACATGAGGAGGAGGCGGCCAACCGAAGCATCTCAAGTCCAATGCGCTGCATGTAGGGGTTT